TAAAATTTTTTGTTTGTTTTCTTTTTTTTAAGATTTTATTTATTTATTCATGAGAGACACAGAGAGAGGCAGGAACATAGGCAGAGGGAGAAGCAGGCTCCTCACAGGAAGCTTTATGTAGGACTTGATCCCTAACTGGGATCACGCCCTGAGCCAAAGGCAGACGCTCAACTGCTGAGCCACCTAGGTGTCCCAAAAATTTTTTGAATAAAACCAAATGGAAATTCTGAAACTCAAGAGAACAATAACTGAAAAATCACTAGAGGGCTCAACAGCAGAGTTGAGGTGGTAGGAATGAACTGAAAGATCAATAGAAATCATCTTTTAAAGATGATTTAGGGGACGCCTGGGTGGCTCAGTGGTTGAGTGTCTATCTGCCTTTGGCTAAGGGTGTGATCCCGATCCCGGGACCGAGTCCCGCATCAGGCTCCCTGCATGGAGCTTGCTTCTCCCTCTGCCTGTGTCTCTGCCTCTCTCTCTCTGTGTGTCTCTCATGAATAAATAAATAAAATCTTTAAAAAAAAAGATGATTTAGGGCAGCCTGGCTGGCTCAGTTGGTGAGACATGCAGCTCTTGATCTTGGGGTTGCGGGTTCTGGCCCCATGTTGGGCATAGTGATTACTTAAAAAAAAAAAAAACAAACCCAGACTCATGTCAATATCTAATACATATACTCTATATCTAATACAGTAATTTGTAGCATAGTTTGAAATATACTATAGTATACTTTAGCATATCTAGAGCCATTCAATATACATCTGTCCTTCACTAGTGATGTGAATTTTGATTACCTGCTTAGTTATTTTTTGACTTTTCTACTTTATGATCACGCAAATATCTTGTTCCTCAACACAGTGTCCCTGTTATATTGTGATTTACAATAAGAAATATATATTTGGTCTTCCATTTCTGGCACAGAGTTCCTAAAACCCTTGGAACTTTCCAAGTGCTAAGAACGATCTAAGCGTCACCTGTCATGTTAGTGAAGTAACTACTAGGGGCGCTTGGCTGGCTAAGTCAGTGGTGCTTAAAACTCTTGATCTCAGGGTGGTGACTTTGAGTACCACGTTGGATGTAGAAATAACTAAAAATAAATAAACTTTAAAAAATGAGGTAACTTTTAGAAAGCCCATAGGTAACCTAAAGATGGGGGCTGGTTGCCAGGGCAACCAATTAAGTGATTAGAGGGTTGGAACTGTTCAGTCCTCCCTCCACCCAACACATCAAGAGAGGGGGAGTGGCTGGAGATTGAGTTCAATCAGCAATGGCCAATGATTTAATCAATCATGACTTTTTTTTTAAAAAAAAGATTTTATTTATTTATTCATGAGAGATAGATACAGAGAGAGAGAGGCAGAGACACAGGCAGAGAGAGAAGAAGGCTCCATGCAGGGAGCCCGATGCAGAACTTGATCTTGGGTCTCCAGCATCACATCACACCCTGGGCTAAAGGCAGGCACCAAATGGCCGAGCCACCCAGGTGTCCTCAATAGTGCTTTTGTAATGAAGCCTCCATTGATCCTGAAAAGGATGGGGGTTTGGAAAGCTTCTGGGTTGATAAAGATGTGGAGATACAGGGAGAGTGTGGAACTTGGAGAGGGCATGGACACTCCACATCCTTTTCCCATACTTTGCCCTATATGCCTTTTTAATCTGACTGTTCCTGAGTTATATCATTTTATTTTATTAGTTTTTATTTTATTTTCAGTAGGTTCCACACACAGTATGGGGCTTAAACTCATGACCCTGAGATTAAGAGTTGCATGCTCCACTGGCTGAGCCAGGCGGGTGCCCCATGGGTTATATCATTTTATAATAAACTGGTAATCTCGTAAGTAAAGTATCTCTCTGAGTTCTGTGAGCCAGTCTAGGAAGTTAATTGAACCCAAAGAGGGGGGTATTAGAACCTCCAATCTATAGACATTTGGTTAGAAGCACAGGTAACTACTTGGACTTTCAATCGGTATCTGAAGTGTGTGTGTGTGTATGTACACGCGTGCATGGCGGGGAGGGGGGGGCAGTCTTGTAGGATTGAGCCCTTAACCTGTGGATCTGATGCTATCTCCAGATAGATAGCATCAAAATGGAGTTGAACTGTAGGACAACCAGCTGGTGTTGGAAGATTGCTTGGTGGTGTGTGGGAAGTACCCAACCACCATTGGATTGAGTGCAGAATCTTAGTCCTCCTAGATTTACCATCCATTAATAATTCTTGTCTGATCCAATCTTTACTGTGAAGGCTATAAAATGATAATTTTCCAACTCTAGTATTCTCCTTTACATTTATTAGTTGGTCCTCAGCATTCTGCTGTAAGAACCCACCATTCTCTCTTTGTTACCATTGTTACAGCTTCACAAATTTCTATTTCTACAGTGTTCATAAATCATTAATGTGCTTAATTATTTTGGTGCTCCAGTTGTCCCAGATTTGGCCAGTAGGATCCCCTTCAAGCTGGTTTCTGCATCTCTATGACATGCTTCACCATTTTTTCAACACTTCCTTGATATCTAGCAAAAAAAGATGATGTAGGGTCATTTGGTACCTATCCTGCCCTAGCCCTAGAATCAGCCATTTCTCTAGGGGGCCCTAATTCTCTTTTAGCAGGCATATTAGTTATCTATTGCTGCATAACCAGCTACTCCCAAACTTATACCACTAATTATTATCTCACACAATTTCTGAGGTTCAGAAACTTGGGAGAAGTTTAGCTAGGTAGATTCTAGATAAGTTTCTCTCTTTATGTGAGGTCATTGTTTATTTATTTATTTATTTATTTATTTAAAAAAATTTTATATTTGTTTATTTTAGAGAGAGAGAGTGAGGAGAAGAGCAGAGGGAGGGGGATAAGTAGACTCAGTGCTGAGCCTGGTGCCCACTCTGGGGCTAGATCCCACTACCCTAAGATCATGACCTGACCTGAAATCAAGAGTTGGACACTTAACCAACTGAGCCACCCAGGCATGCCTCATGAAGTCATAATTAAGAATTTTGAGGGGTGCCTGGGTGGCTCAGTCAGTTAAGCATCTGTCTTTGGCTTGGTTGGTGATCCTAGGGTCCTGAGATCACAGGCTTCCTGGCTTCTTCCTTTGCCTGCCACTCCCCCTGCTTGTGCTTTCTCTCTGTGTCAAATAAATAAATGAAAAATCTTAAAAAAAAAAAAAGAATTTTGGGGAATGGGAACTCATTCTGGGGAAAGAAATCGCACTTATTACACGGAGTTCACAGGCCCTAGAATTAAGAGAGTAAAAACCAATTTGATATTGTAGGAGTTCTTTTCTACTTTGAAAGACTGTTTCCTGGGGCACCTGGGTGGCTCAGTCAGTTAACTGTCTACATTCAGCTCAGGTCATAATTTCAGGGGTCCTGGGCCTCAGACTCCCTGCTCAGTGAGGAATCTGTCCTCCCTTGGCCCCTTCCCTTGCACCTGCTCCCCCCCTCAAATAAATAAATAGAATCTTTAAAAAAAAAAAAAACCACAAAAAACTGTTTCTTTTAAGTTCAAGTTCTAGACTACATTTACTTTATGCTATTACTTTTGGTCTCTTAAAGCATTTTCTTTTTCAACAGTTGGTTCAAGTTAAAAAAAAAGTATGTTGTTGAAGGTCTACCTGTATAAGACGATAACAGATAAACTCCTGCCTGAAAGTTTGCAAAGTAGTATAAAGTTTCTAGTTCTTTCCTGAAGCTTTCTTAAAGAAGTAAAAAATTTCAGAGATGAAGCTACTAATCTGTTGAATGATTCTTACCCTCTTGCTCATTACCCCAGTCATCATTCAGCTACTGAATACCATGATTCATTCTGAGCTATTAGCTCTGACATGAATACAATATAAATAGCAATTCCTTCACCTGTCTAATTCAGATGGTCTCTCTTAGGGTTTAACCTCCCTGGGGTTCCAAGCTGTCTTAATAATAAGCCTTGCTCAACCCAGTTCAACACAAAAGGCAATTAATAATTAATGAAAAAAAATAATTAATGAAATTGAGAAATCAGTCCACAGTGTAGCCTGGGTGCAGGGGTGCAAGGGCATCTGACGGTGTGTGTGTGTGTGTGTGTGTGTGTCCAAAACAAACCAGATTTGGCCACTTGCCGCCAATAAAATCCAAAGGCAAAGAGACGAGGTGAAACGAGAAAAGCCTTTTATTTCAGTGAGGCCAATACTGGGTAGACAGTGGACTAGTGTCTCCAAGAGTGCCTCCAAAGACCTGAAAATACTTCCAGTTTTTTCTTCTTTCTTTCTTTCTTTCTTCTTTCTTTCTTCTTCTTTTTTTTTTTAAATACTTCCAGGTTTCTATAATGAAAATGTGGGGCAAAGGTCATGGGTACACGCAGATGGGCAGTAAAGGTCAGGTCGAACATTGTCTTGGGGTCAGTCATTAGCGTTTTGCTGGCTCAGGGCAGTCCTTATTGCTTGAGGGTACACTTCACCAGCAAGATCTTTTGCCTGAGTTAAGAGATAGGCTTGAAATAATTTAATCAATTAGAACTCAATGGTCAAGGCCAACGATTTGCTTTTTGGGTCAAGGCAGTATACCGCGGCCACAGGGGCAACTGATTAACACAGTCTGCCCAGGGGCGCCTAATAGGGCTCAGTTAAGGCACCCACTGCTTTTGGGCTCAGCTCATGATTCTCAGGATGCTGAGACCAAGCCCGGCCTAGGCGCTGTGCCTGCTGAAGACAGGCTCTTTCCGCCTGCCCCTCCCCCACCAGCAACAACAAAAACCCACAACACGCTGCCCAGACAAGTGAGGATCCATTAAAACGCTGCGCTCTCCCCACCTCTCCCACGCGGGAACCCGGGCGTCTTGCCTGAACTGCAGAAGTCCGGCCCTAAGCGGAGAGGGCGGGGGCGAGGAGGAGAGGTCTAGCAGTGCGCCTGCGTACTGGGTTCTGAGGGCCGAGGTCGCGCGGCGGGCCCCCTCGCGAGCACCACAAGCCCCGCGAGATTTCCTTCCGAGCTGCGTGGCGGTGAGTGCCAGGAGCGGGCGGCCCCGCGGCTGCTGGCGGGGGAGCTTCCCGCGTGTGGGAGGCTCTAGGAACCAGGGTGACCTCCGCTTTTTCTCCCTGAGCTGGGGTGACGCTGGCGTTATTGCCTAGGTCACTAGGTCAGGGAACGCTCGAGAAGAAATAGGGGCAGATTTTTTTTTTTTCCTTTTGAAATTGTTGGGAGTAAGCAACCTCGAGTTTGGACGAGGTTGTGTGTAAGGTGCGTTTGGGACGTTCATTTAGCACATTTATTGAGCGCCTTTCATGTGCCAGAGGGTGGACGTAAATCATTGAACAAACGTCACAAATCCCGATCCCCTGGGGGGCGCTGTCTGGGAAGCTAGTTTGAATTTAGGGGCTGTAGACGCAGATTTGGATTAATTTCCATGTGAGTGGTGGGTTATGGGAGCCAGGGAGGAAGGTGAGGTCAGTGGGGGAGGGGAAGAGCCAGGCAGGGACCCCTAATATTAGACTGGGGCAGAAGGAGGAGGAAACTGAAGGCTCAAAGGAGAGGGAGCGACAAGCCAGCCAGAAAGTGGGGGAAATCCCAGAGATTTCCACCTTTTATAACAAGGTGGCGGTCAGCAGAGCCATTTATGTAGCAGGATAATTGAACGAGATAAGGTTAGGAAGTGTTTCTTTTTTTTAAAATTTATGATTGTCAGAGAGATGAGAGAGAGAGAGAGAGAGAGAGAGAGAGGCAGAGACACAGGCAGAGGGAGAAGCAGGCTCCATGCACCGGGAGCCCGACGTGGGATTCGATCCCGGGTCTCCAGGATCGCGCCCTGGGCCAAAGGCAGGCGCCAAACCGCTGCGCCACCCAGGGATCCCAGGAAGTGTTTCTTTAAAAAGATTTAGGAAGCTGGGCAGCCCGGGTGGCTCAGCGGTTTGGCACCTGCCAGGGCTGATCCTTGAGACCGGGGATCGAGTCCTGCGTCGTCGGGATCCCTGCATGGAGATGGAGCCTGCTTCTCTCTCTCTGCCCGCCTCCCCCGCCCCCCGCCGTGTCTCTCATGAATAAATAAATAAAATCTTAAAAAAAAAAAAAGATTTAGGAAGCTCATGTTGTGGAAATGGTTTGTGTTGTGTTTGAGTGTGGGTTCCAGTGTCGTCATTACCAGTTGTGCAAGCATGGGCAAGTTCTTCAACCTACTCCCTTTTCTCATCTAGAAAATGAGGATAGGGGATCCCTGGGTGGTGCAGCGGCTTGGCGCCTGCCTTTGGCCCAGGGCGCGATCCTGGAGACCCGGGATCGAATCCCACGTCAGGCTCCCGGTGCGTGGAGCCTGCTTCTCCCTCTGCCTATGTCTCTGCCTCTCTCTCTCTCTCTGTGACTATCATAAATAAATAAAAATTAAAAAAAAAAAAAAAAGAAAATGAGGATAAATGATGGTACATCCTCAGAGAGTTGTTGGGGGAGGGGTTAAGCGACACCGTGATTGTAAAAACGTTAGCCCAGTCCCTGGCATTTAGTAACATTCAGAAGATTGGCTGAGAGAAGAGTCTCCTAAGGTCCCACGTGATTAGAACTGGGACAGGTACTCTGTGTACCTAGTTCAGTGCCCTTTTCCTAATGCTAGGTTACAAGTAGTTGCTCAAATAACATGCTCTTTATGATTAGCACCGCAGGGAATTTTTCACTGGATCATTGATCTGGTGTTATTTGGGGATATTACTTAGCATTTATTGGAAACCCACCTAATATACCGACCGAACATGGTATGCTGAATGTCAGTAAAGAGTTGACTGTCTTCTCCACTTCTCTGCTAGGGATGAATGTAACACCGCCTCCTTTCAGATCTATAAGTGTGTCATATTTTGAGACTTTAGTTTTGTAACTAAGTCAAGTTCTTTATGTTTTATTTTTTAAAGATTTTACTTATTGGTGAGACACACACACACACACACACACAGAGGGGCAGAGACAAAGGCAGAGGGAGAAGCAGGCTCTCTGTGGGGAACCCCAAGAGGTCTTGATTACAGGACCTTGGGATCGTGACCTGAGCCAAAGGCAGCCGCTCAACCACTAAGCCACCCAGGTGTCCCAATTTCTCTATGTTTTACTTGTTTTATTTATTTTTTTAAGATTTTATTTATTTATTCATGACAGAGAGAGAGGCAGAGACACAGGCAGAGGGAGAAGCAGGCTCCATGCAGGGAGCCCGACGTGGGACTCGATCCTGGGACTCCAGGATCACGCCCTGGGCTGAAGGTGCACTAAACTGCTGAGCCACTCGGGCTGCCCATTCTTTATGTTTTAAATGTGTTGTTTGTTGTGCTATCAAGGGATATTGTGGAATTAGCCTACCTTAGTTCTAGTATTTGACAGTTGAAAACTTTCTAATTTAATACAGAAGGAGAGGGGATCCCTGGGTGGCTCAGCGGTTTGGTGCCTGCCTTCAGCCCAGGGCATGATCCTGGGGTCCTAGGATCGAGTCCCTCCTGGAGCTCCCTGCATGGAGCCTGCTTCTCCCTCTGCCTGTGTCTCTCCCTCTCTCTGTCTCTCATGAATAAATAAAATCTTTAAAAAAGGAGAATAATTTGATAGGGTGCTTTTCATGCTGATAAACCGTGATTGGACAAATCTACAGTGTGCATATTTTAAAGAAAACATACATTGAAAGTAATCAGAGAAGAGGACAAATAGGAAACTTCATTTGGGAAGACTTCTTTGATTGAAAATTATGGTGCTGTTAATAACCACTTCGGAGTAGTTATCTTTGGATCCAGCATCAGTTTGGAAAATTTTGCTTTTTAGTTCTTCTGTAATTTACACATAAGGTAATTCAATAGAAAATTTCCTTTTGGGGATCCCTGGGTGGCTCAGCAGTTAAGCACCTGCCTTTGGCCCAGGGTGTGATTCTGGAGTTCGGGATTGAGTCCCGCATCGGGCTCCCTGCAAGGAACCTGCTCCTCCCTCTGCCTGTATCTCTGCCTCTGTCTCTCATGAATAAATAAAATCTTTAAAAAAAAAATAAAGACAATTTCCTTTTAAAAATATGTTTAGCCCTACAAGACATTTTGGACTTTTTTTATTTTTAAAGATTTTATTTATTTATTCATGAGAGACACACGGGGGGTGGGGGGGGCAGAGACACAGGCAGAGGGAAAAGCAGGCTCCATGCAGGGAGCCTGACGTGGGACTTGATCCCAGGTCTCCAGGATCACGTGCTGGGGTGAGGGTGGCGCTAAACTGCTGAGCCACCCGGGCTGCCCATACATTAAATATTAAGTGAATATTTAGCACTCAAAATAGTGCTTGGCACATAGTAACACTAAGGGCAGATCTTTTCCCCCCAAATCAGATAATGCTAGCACTGGAACTTCATTTTGCTTCTTTTATTAGCTCAAGTTGAAAACCCAGAATAAACTGATCCTTTACTTACTTATTTGGCCATTCTGTACTATAGAATTTCCTATAAGGTGAAGATTTAAAAATGTTTTTATATTTTACTTTTCTTTAAGTTTATTTTAATTTTTTTTTTAGTAATCTCTACACCCTGTGTGGGGCTCGAACTTACGAACCTGAGATCAAGAGTTATGTGCTCTTCCAACTGACCCAACCAAGCGCCTCTGATGTTTTATTTATATTGTAAATAAAACTATTTATTTCCATTTTGATAGATGAATAAAAATTTTTTTTGAAAATTTGGTTACATCTCAAGCAGCTAGTGTTTTTATTTTGCTATTAGATTAACTGTCTAACTCTGGATGAATAGATCATGTTTTCTTTTTACTCAAGCCACAGTGGGAGGCTTAATCATGATGGAATAAGGATGAATGTGCTTGAATTATGAAGCCAAAACCATTTTGTCTTACTCAGTCTTTTGAACTCGTTCTTATTACCCAAAAATTCTGATTAAATTTAGTCTTTCTTCACATATTTGCTTTAGGAGACAAACTCTGACACTCAACTATATCTTTTATGGATCCTACAGATGACTTTTCCTCTCCTTGTTCAGAAACGCAAACATGCCTTTTAAAAAAAATTGGTGAATATTTTAAAATTTTGTGATTTACAGACTTTTCTGTTTATAGGAGTTATTTTGTACAAGAATCTTGGGAGACCACTGTGGAGCGAGGTGATGATTGTGCAAAGAGTGGTTCTGAATTCCCGACCTGGTATGTATTTGTCTGTGATGAATGAACAGCTGTGGTCTTTGATAATTATTATTTTTAAGATTTATTTATTAATGAGAGAAAGAGAGAGCAGGGGGAGGGGTAGATGGAGAGAGAGAGAGAAAGAATCTTAAGCAGACCCCCCACTGAGCACAGAGCCCGAGGTACGGCTCCATCCCATGACCCTGAGATTATGACATGAGCTGAAATCAAGAGTCAGACACTCAACCAACTGAACCACCCAGATTCTCCAGTCTTTGATAATTATTAATGAAAATGAAGGAACAAAAGTAATAGTCAATGTGGTAAAATTAAGTGAGGAAGATATTAACCTTAGTAGAGATATTAGAAGAAATTCTTTAAATTCTTTATCAAGGCTATTTGTTGAAGAAAAAAGGTATTTGGGAATTATTATATTTAAAAGGTTATATTACATATATATGGCTTTTGTTTTTTCTTTATGATATGTATTGTTGAATCTTAAAATTTGCCTTTCTGTTTTATGGAAAAGCACTGACTTAAGTCTGTGCTGATGTCTAACTTGAATCATAAAAAATTAAGTATGGAAATAACCTGAGAAGTTTGGGCCCATGCTGCTTTGGTTTTACTGCTTACTTAAGTGTATGGCCTGGGGAAATCACTTTTCTTTCTCTCTCTCTCTTTTTTTTTTTAACTCCCAGTTACCTTTTCTGATTTCAGGTTTAGTAAAGTGAGCTATTAGATTAAAATGTTTATATTCTATTCCCACTTTAGACATTCAATGACTCAATAGGAAATTTGCTTGTGTAAAACTAAGAATAACTAAGAATACACTTTTAGTGATGGCATTTTCTGCTTATAAATTTTTCTTTCCATACTTCAAATTTTCTAAGTTTCAAGACTTTATTTATTTATTTAAAAGTAGGCTCCACACCCAATACAGACCTTGAACCCACAACCTTCAGATCAAGAGTTTCATGCTCCACCCACTGAGATAGCCAGGTGCCCCAAGACTTTACTTTTTTTTTTAAAGATTTTATTTATTTATTCATGAGACACACACACACACACACACACACACACACAGAGAGAGAGAGAGAGAGAGAGAGAGAGAGAGAGGCAGAGAGGCAGAGACAGAAGCAGGGAGTCCGATGTGGGACTCGATCCTTGGATCTCAGGATCACACTCTGAGCCAAATGAGGCACCCAAGCGTCCCAAGACTTTACTTTTTAAAAAAATTACATTAATTTCAGTTTCCATTTCTCTTAAAAGGAGGAAGGAAAGTTAACTATTTTGGCTGATACAATGTTTCTGCTACTTTGTAAATTTTGATTTTCACAATTATTTTTGATTTTCATAATTTAAAACAACTGGCTATGAGTTTTCACTTTTGAAATCCTATAATTTTAAAACAGATTAGGTGATTTATCTGTAATTATCTTTATTTATTTAAAATATATATATTTTTTAATTTGAGAAAGAGAGAGAGTGCATCCATGAGAAGGGTGAGGAGCCAGGGAGAAGCAAACTTCCTGCTGAGCAGGAAGCCTGATATGGGTGGGGCTCAGTCCCAGGACTCTGGGATCTGACCTGAGCCAAAAGCAGATGCTTAACAGACTGAGCCACCCAGGCGCCCCGTAATCATTTTTATTTTTTTATTTTTTTATTTTTTTCCCGTAATCATCTTTAAAAAAAAAGAAATTTTGAGGTTGTTAGCAATATTCCATAGGGACTTCTTGGAGAAAATCAAGATCAATTAAAGCTTTTGAAGGATTTATATTGTGTTACAGAGAAATTACAAAACAATATAGATTTATTCATGTCTGTATTAAAAGGGACTTATCTGAATCCTAGAATTTAAAGAATAATAAAGAATTATATAGGAAAGTGACTCTTTGATTTTATATTTCTTTAATATTATAGGAGTAAATGGTAATCCAGTGGCAGAAAATTTCCGAGTAGAAGAAGTAAATTTGCCAAATAATATCAATGAAGGACAAGTACAAGTGAGAACTCTTTATCTTTCTGTGGATCCTTACATGGTAAGAATCAGGATTTTGTGACTTGGTGAAAATTAATTTTATTTTAATATTTTTCATGTTGCACCTCAATTTTACTTTACAGTCTTTAAGATTAATAAATATTTGAGCAATTATACCTTTTTTTTGAGCAGTTATATATCGATACCTGGGAATTACAGATTGCATTTGTTTTTTTATTCACTAGTGTTATGAAAGGATACTGTAGAAGGAATGTTTTCATAAGGTTAATCAAGTTCTTTCAAATGTCCAGATCACTTCCCAGTAGTAAATGAAACTCGAAGATAGCAAATTAGGATTGGAAATTTTCTCAAATTGATCCAGTTTACAAGGTAGGCTCTATAAGACCTTTATTCTAGTTGGTCTCTCTTTTTTTAGAGACTTATGTATTTTAGAGAGAGAGAGAGAGAGGGAGAAACTCAAGTAGACTATGCACTGAGCCTGAGGTGGGGCTCAGTCTCAAGACCTGAGCCAAAACCAAGAGTTGGATGCTTAACCAATTGTACCACCAAGGTGCCCCTATAGTTGGTGTCTTTTTGAAGGAACAGACTCACTTTTAGATAAAGGAGACTTATTGAAAGATAACTGTTTAGGACTGACACCGAGAAGCCCTCAGATACATGGACTTAGACTCTATAAACAGAGATAGTTTTTGCTTCTCTTTTTTCTATACAAATACTTTTTATTTCATTTTCTTGCTGGATTAGAAACTCTAGTACAATCTTATATAGAAGTAGTGAGTGCGGACATCTTTATCTTGTTCCTAGATCTCAGGGGGAAAGCATTCAGCCTTTCACCATTAAGTATGATGTGAGATTTTTGAAGATGCCCTTTATCAAGTTGATGAGATTTCCTATTTCTGATTTGGTTCCTGCTTTGTTGAGTGTTTTTTATCTTAAAGGAGTGGTTTTTTTTTAATTGTGATAAAATATATATAACAAAATATGCCATTTTAACCGTTTTTAAGTGTATAATTCAGTGGCATTAAGAACATTCACTATGAAGTCTCCATTACTCCTCCCAGAGCAGTTTTAGATTTTGTCATTTGCATTTGCTGCTTCTATTGAGATGACCATGTGGTTTTTGTTTTGAATCTAATGATATGGTTTATTACATTAATTTTCAGATGTTAAATTAATCTTGCATTCTTGGAATAAATGACACTTGTTCCTGGTATATAATTCCTTGATATGTTGTTGGATTTATTTTCTTTAAGCTTTTATCTACTTATTTGAGAGAGAGAGTACATGCACAAGTGGAAGGAGGAGCAGAGGGAGAGGGACAAGCAGACTCCACCGTGAGTGCAGAGCCCAAATGTGAGGCTTGATGTGGGTGACTGAGCCACCTAGGCGCCCTAATATGTTGTTAGATTTAGTTTGATACTATTTTGGTAGAGTTTGTGAAAAATTGGTATTCTTGAAAAGACTGGTAGGTGAATTCTGGTGCTTCCCCATGTGGCCCTGTGTGGTAGTGTGCTCCTCCTCTTAGCAATTGTTTAAGTAATAAACTCTTCCTTCAAGGCAGTTGTCTCTGTGTCTGTTATTTTACTATACCTGACTAAAAATCCTAAGTACAAATTAAAACAAGCCTTTGTACTTGCTGTCCCTCTGTCTTCCTCCCACCCCTTTCCCATTATCTGGCCAACTCCCGTTATTCCCTCAAAGCCTGCATTAAAAGGTTTTGCTTTGGTAAATCACCTTGAACCCTCAAACTAATCCTATTACATTTTCTCAAAACAGGACCTTGATCTATAGCATTTATCCCAGTTGTAACAAGGAATTATCTATGTAGTTATTAGATGTCAGTCTTTCCTAATAAAGAGTAAACTTACGGAGGCAGAGGACTTATTTGTCACTATATTTCCAGGTACTAGTATGGTGCTTATTAAGTATTAATTAAAGGAAGGAGGGAAGAAAATTATTTTGGTTGCTTTTACTAGACATTGTTCTTAAGAATATATATCCAAATTTATAACTAATTTTTTTAAACTTTTTTTTTTTTATGATAGTCACACAGAATGAGAGAGAGAGGCAGAGACATAGGCAGAGGGAGAAGCAGGCTCCATGCACCGGGAGCCTGACGTGGGATTCGATCCCGGGTCTCCAGGATCGTGCCCTGGGCCAAAGGCAGGCGCTAAACCGCTGCGCCACCCAGGGATCCCTATAACTAATTTTAATCACCATGTATACAGAATATTTTACATGGTTTTGTTTAATGTATATATAATTTGATATTTAAGTGACTTTATGTATATATTTTCATTTGAAAAACTAGTCCAAATATAATTTTGGTGGTTATATAATCTATTGTGTTGACATCATTTGCTTACCTATGGAGAAGTACTTGTTCCTATTTTTCTCTGCTAGCCTTGTTTAGACTCAGGTCCTTGAGGGGCACCTGGCTGGCTCAGTCAGTAGGGCATTTCAGGGTTGTTAGTTTGGGCCCAATATTGGGTGTAGAGATTACTTAAAAAAATTACCTTAAAAGAAAAGAGAAAGAGAGGTCCTTGGTCTGGCAATATTCAAAGGTTGTTATACATGCCTTGAAAAATACTTGGGAGGAGCACAGTAGCAGAAGTGTAGTTAGTATATTGTCATAGAAGCTTCTGCCTCAATTCTCCATTTGGTCCTTTTCTGTGGTGAACTGAACTATACCACATGGGGCCTCTTAATCAATAGCAGCCTATTATTTCTATCTCCTGGACCAAGATGAAGGGCTCTACATCTTGGCCTTCATGAATGGGCAAGAGTGAGTCACATAAGAGAGCCTTGACTGCTTCCCAGAGAATTCTTTAGCCCTAGGCCTGTGGAAAGGTGTAGTACCATTGCGACATTTTGTCTTTGTAGAATAAAGAGAACATCCACCTGAGGTTGAGGGGTATAATGTTGGGCTAGGTCTAAAATGATGAACAAATGTGTAAAAATTGTTTCATTTCTTTTTGGGTTATTTCCATTGAGGAAGCAGAATTGCTAAGCCAAAAGAAATAAGTAGCATTACAGTCTGTATGTTGCCAGTTTGTTTTCTATGAAAAATGTACAGTTTTATAATAGCAACATGTAAGTGTAGATGATTTGCCACAATCCATTGAAACCATTGACATGGTATTTTGTATAATTTTGGTAGTGTAATGTAATAGTGCTTAAATTTCTTTGTTTAAAAATTTTAACAGCTTTATTGAAATATAATTCACCTATCATACAATGTATACATTTGTAGTGTATAATTCAGGGGTGCCTGGCTGGCTCAGTCAGAAGAGCATGTGACTCTTGATCCTGGGGTCACAAGTTCAAGCCCCACATTGGGTGGAGAGATTATTAAAAATAAGTAAATAAATAAACTCAAAAAAATGTATAATTCAGTGGTTTTTAGTCTGTTCACAAAGTTGGGGACCTTTCTAATTGTACTTCTTTATGTGTTAGAGAGGGGGTACGTCTTTGTTTTGAGGATAAAAAATAACTAAAAGGAAAATAGATTTAAGATAAATATAATTTGTTTGACTAAGACTTTAATTAACATTACTGACTATATATCTTTCTTTTAGTCACCAGGTAAATCAGTAAACTGGCCAGTATTATCAGGGAGAATTATCCTAATCAACATTTTCCTTTTTTAGCGTTGCAGGATGAATGAAGACACTGGTACTGACTATATAACACCTTGGCAGCTGTCTCAAGTGGTTGATGGTGGAGGTATTGGAATTGTAGAAGAAAGCAAACACTTAAATTTTACCAAAGGCGATTTTGTGATTTCTTTCTATTGGCCCTGGCAAACCAAGGTGATTCTGGATGGAAATGGCCTTGAAAAGGTGATGTATAATATACAGTATTTGCTTTTTCTCCCCTCTGTAATTTTTACTTTGTGCATTTGGCGTTCAGTTTGTTATCAGGGAAAAAAAAATAAGAGCATATATGTTCTTTTAGATAGCTTCCAAAATGTGGAAAACTGTTTCTTTTCCACTGTTGGCTGTAACTATAGATGGTAGTTATTAGGTTATTAGTGAATGGTGGTGTTTTCTGTATTTAATTTATTTCTCAAATTTTGCATATATAAAATAAAACCTGAATTGTAAGCATCAAAGAAATATTTTATGCCAAGAACCAGAAGGCCTCTTAGAGTTGTATGCTTTAAAGTTTCCTGACAGGGTGCCTGGGTGGCTCAGTGGTTGAGCATCTGCCTTTGGCTCAGGTTGTGATCTTGGGGTCCTGGGACTGAGTCCTGCATAGGGCTTCCCACAGGGAGCCTGCTTCTTCCTCTGCCTATCTCTCTGTGTCTCTCATGAATAAATAAAATCATTAAAAAAAACAAAGTTTCCTGAAAAATTGCCATTTGACTTAAGAAATTTGTTTGGTTTGTTCTTAAAATTCTATTTTGTATCAAAGTTCTGAGTTCAGTTTCTGCTGTTAGTTGAATTGTGTGAAATTACCACAATTTGTTTTGACCTATAAAACTGGGCGAAAAAAAAAATAAAACTGGGCGGCTTCATGTAATTCAACCTAATATATGTCATCACAGAAGTTACTTTATGACTCTGACCCTTAGTTTTCTCATGTGCAAGATGAAAATAGTAGCTGTCTCACAAATGAGTGTGGAAATCAGATGCTATGGGAAATATGACTAAGACTTTCTAGAAAGTTTTATAAAATTTTAGTATTTTTTTAAGATTAAGAACATCTGGGCAGTCCCGGTGGCTCAGCGGTTTAGCGCCGCCTTCAGTCCAGGGCCTGATCCTGGAGACCCGGGATCGAGTCCCACGTCGGGTTCCTTGCATGGAGCCTGCTCCTCCCTCTGCCTGTGTCTGTCTCTGTCTCTCTCTTTCTGTGTCTGTCATGAATAAATAAATAAAATATTAAAAAAAAAGATTAAGAATATTTTAAAAAGTTTATTTGAGAGAGATAGCACAAGTCGGGGCAAGGGAAGGGCAGAGGGAGAGGGAAAAGCAGATTCCCTGCTGAGCAGAGAGCCCCATGCCGGTTCGATCACAGGACCCTGGAACCAAGACCTGAGCTGAAGGCAGACACTTAACCCACTGAGCCACCCAGGTGCCCCTAGTACTACTACTACTACTACTACTACTTCTTATTATTATTATTTTTAAAGATTTTATTTATTTATTCATGAGTGATACAGAGAGAGAGAGGCAGAGATACAGGCAGAGGGAGAAGCAGGCTCTATGCAGGGAGCCCGACGTGAGACTTGATCCCTGGAACTCTGGAATCACATCCTGGGCGGAAGGCAGGCGCTGAACTGCTGAGCCACCCAGGGATCCCCAGTACTTCTTTTTATTAAAAATTCTTGTAATCAGTTAAAGGTGACTGTTAAGATACAAATGATATGTGGCAGACGTTATATAATAATTTTCAACCTAATGGTACTAGTAAAATATATTTAACTAGAAATTTCTTAGCAGGAAGTGAAAAAGAAATATTCAGCAGGTTCTGGTTTTCCTTGTCATTGTGCTCTGGTGGGAAATGGAACAGTTGGGGAAGCTTAAAAAAGCTTTAGGCATAGGTATTAAAAATTAAGAAGAGGAATTCAGAGGGTGTGGAGAAAGGATATATACTAAACACAAACCTATCTTACAATGTTTTTATATTGATTTTACTAATAAATAACTATTAACTTACATGAAATATTTCTGTGTAGACCTTTCTAAGTATTGTTGACTTTAATATTTCCATTACCTTTATGTACACAGTAGGTTAACTAATAGCCATGTAAGGCTGCTGAATACAGGGGCACCTTGGTGGCTCAATGGTTGAGCGGCTGCCTTTGGCTCAGGTCATGATTCCAGGGTCCTGGGTTGGAGTCCCACATCAGGCTCCCCGCAGGGAGCCTGCTTCTCCCTCTGCCTAATGTCTCTGCCTCTCTTTGTGTCTTTCGTGAATAAATAAAAAGAATCTTAAAAAAAAAAAAGACTACTGAATACAAACTGCCATTTTATTTGTTTATAGTAGCTTAAGTACAAATCAAATTAAAGTAGTGAATCTTGGTTGCATTTGGTGGTTTCTTAAATTTTTACCAAAATTATTCAATTCCTTACAAAATTATTATAAAATTTTTATAATAGGGAGTCTTTCCATATCATTTCTTTTTATCCAATTCCCCCTACTGTACAGATAAGAAAACAGACACAGGGAATGTAGAAGTACCTGGTAAACATATAAACATTAAATTCTAAAAAGTTAAGAGAGCCCTCATTTTATTCTGTAATTAAGTTGAAAGAAATTGTTTCACACTTTTCTTATATTTTTATGATACATTTTAAAGCATTATTAATGAGACAGAGTTTGAGCTGATTTTTTAAAAGATTTTAATTTATATATTTGAGAGAACCAGAGTGAGGGGGAGAGAGAGAGAGAGAGAGAACACAAGCAGGGAGGGGCAGAGGGAGAGGGAAAAGCAGACTCCCCGCTGAGCAGGGAGTGCAACATGGGGCTTGATTCCCGGACTCCAGGATCATGACCTGAGCCAAAGGCAGACCCTCAACTCACTGAACCACCTGGGTGCCCCTGAGTTGATTTTTATATAGATAAATGTTTACTTTAGAATTGCTCAGAGATTTTAAAACCTTCCAACCCTGCCTAGTGTTTTCCTCTTAAATATTTCTTCTCTTTTTGTATACTTGGGGCATTGGCAAGAAAGAATGGTTAGTGTCAGTGTCTTTCATGTGGGAATTCTTTCAAGTTTCTGTTTTTTTGCTATAGAGAAAAGCAATATTCATTTCCTTCTTAGTCTGTACAAATAAACTATAGAATTTTAGCAAGACTGAAGAATGGCTCACTGTTCTAGAAACCCTATTGGGTTATTTATTAGTCTGCTTGGTGTACCATTACAAAATACCAAAGACTGGGTGGCTTAAACGACAGAAACTTATTTTCTCGCAGTTCTGGAGGCTAAAAATCTGAGATCTAGGTGCTGGAAAATGTGGTTTGTAGTGAAACCTCTTTTCCTGGCTTGCAGTTGGCTTCCTTTTTGCTGTGTTTTGATGGGGCATTTCACCTTTCATTTGTGCATGTACAGAGAAAAAGCTCTGGTGTCTCTTCCTCTTCTCATAAGGAAACAAGTCCTATTGGATTAGCGTCCCTTCCTTATGACTTTATTTAACCTCAATTATCTCCTTAAAGGCCCTGTATCCAAATATAGTTACATTACGGGGTAGGTCATCAACATAATAACTTGTGGGGCGAGCACAACTGTCCATAACAGGTTGTCTCTACCTTATTGACTTAAAACAGGACTTTCTAGTATTATTTTTTAATGTTATATATTTTATTTTAGGTAGACCCACAGCTTGTAGATGGACACCTTTCATACTTTCTTGGAGCTATAGGTATGCCTGGTTTGACTTCCTTGATTGGGATACAGGAGAAAGGTCATATAACTGCTGGATCTAATCAGACAATGGTTGTCAGTGGGGCTGCTGGTGCTTGTGGATCTTTGGCCGGGCAGGTAAACTTTTTGAGAATTGTTTGATTTTCTTTTTTTTTTTTTTCTTTTTGGTTTTCTAAAAACATTGTCATAATCAAATTTCTGGATATATGTATGTCATTTAAAATATAAAATTGAAAAAATTTATAATATTCTTTTACACATTTCTTGTAGAAAAGATGTTATTACATGCTTAGGCTCTCTTCATAACAGCATGAAAAACGTAGATGTTTGTGTCTTGTTCGTTATTAACCAAAACAGACATGATAAATGTTAGAACATTGTTCTAATCAGTGTAAGGAAGAAGCTCATAGATTTTCTTATCTGGAATTCATGAATTAATGAATTAAAGACAAACTCATATTTTTACAAAGAATCTTCAAATAAGAGAGTGCTAACTGGGTTCTAGAAATATAGTAAAGATTATAATAGAATTTTAAAGAAAACTTTTATGAATAACAGCCTTTATAGTGTGAAAACCATTGAAACAAAACATTTTATCATAGTAGTGATTTTAGTTCCTCATAGGCCTAAGTTGCAAGCTAGTGATTTTTTTTTAAGATTTTATTTATTCATGAGAGACACAGAGAGAGAGAGGCAGAGACACAGGCAGAGGGAGAAGCAGGCTCCATGCAGGGAGACCGATGTGGGACAGGCTCCATGCAGGGAGACCGATGTGGGACTCGATCACAGGTCTCCAGGATCAGGCCCTGGGCTGAAAGCGGCCCTAAACCACTAAGCCACCCGGGCTGCCCTGAAATTAGCTTTAAATTGTGCGATTTTAACATTAAAACTTGGGATCCCTGGGTGGCGCAGCGGTTTGGCGCCTGCCTTTGGCCCAGGGCGTGATCCTGGAGACCTGGGATCGAATCCCACGTCAGGCTCCCGGTGCATGGAGCCTGCTTCTCCCTCTGCCTATGTCTCTGCCTCTCTCTCTCTCTCCCTGTGTGACTATCATAAATAAATAAAAATTAAAAAAAACATTAAAACTAAGTCCAATGTTTGCCAATACTCATTTTTTTTAGGAGTGACATTATATCTGGTCTCAGTTCTTTTGGTTTCAAATTACCAAGCCAAAAGCCCCATAACCAAACTTAAATTGTGATGAACACTCTCCTATACTTGTAATAGTTTGTATACTTTGACGTTTTTATACTTAAATGTGGCAACAAAAAATTGTTTAATTTTTTAAAATTTCCCTCCTAGATTGGCCATTTGATGGGCTGTTCCAGAGTGGTGGGAATTTGTGGAACGCAAGAAAAGTGCCTCCTTCTGACCTCAGAACTGGGCTTTGATGCTGCAGTTAATTATAAAAAGGAGAAGGTGGCAGAACAGCTCCGTGAATTATGCCCAGCTGGAGTGGATGTTTACTTTGACAATGTTGGTGGTGACATCAGTGACACAGTGATAAGTCAGGTTGTGTGCCGATTTATGTGTTAGAAATTTGAATACTACATTTTATTTAATGTGCTATCTTTTTACCTGATACTAAGGAAAAAACTCTATAAAATTCTATGGTTTATTGTGAGAAATAATGTAATGATCAGTTTTATAATTGAGTGATACCAAAAAGCTTGCTGATGACTACTTCCATTTGCTTGCAGATTTGCATATGATCATTAATTTCAGTTCTTTGGTAGCAATTATGTTTTTCACCTGCAATTTATTTTTGTTAAAAATTATAGTTGTGGGGATGCCTGGGTGGCTCAGTGGTTGAGCACCTGCCTTTGGCTCAGGGTGTGGTCTTGGAGTCCCAGGATTGAGTCCCACATCAGGCTCCCCATCAGGAACCTGCTTCTCCCTCTGCCTATGTCTCTGCCTCTCTCTGTGTGTGTCTCTCATAAATAAATAAATAAAATCTTAAAAAAAATTATAGTTGTAGGGGTGCCTGGCTGGCTCGGTTAGTCAGGCATGCAATTCTTCATTTCAGGGTTGTGAGTTCTAGCCCCACATTGGGTGTAGAGATAACTTAAAAATAAAACCTTAAAAAAAAATTACAGCTGTATTGTTCCAATGGTGAAGTTTTGACCCTAACTCCCTATTAACTAAGAGCCATAGCCTCTGACTTTGGAAAGGAATTTCGTAGATCACAGGTATTTACATATTTTATTTTTAAGACTTTATTTTTATTTTTTTTTATAATTTTTATTTTTATTTTTATTTTAATTTATTAATTTAATTATTTATTTATTATTTATATTTATTTACGATAGTCACACACAGAGAGAGAGAGAGAGAGAGGCAGAGACACAGGCAGAGGGAGAAGCAGGCTCCATGCACTGGGAGCCCGACGGTGGGATTCGATCCCGGGTCTCCAGGATCGCGCCCTGGGCCAAAGGCAGGCGCTAAACCACTGCGCCACCCACGGATCCCATTAAGACTTTATTTATTCTTTTTTTTATTATTTTATTTATGATAGTCACACAGAGAGAGAGAGAGAGAGGCAGAGACATAGGCAGAGGGAGAAGCAGGCTCCATGCACCGGGAGCCCGACGTGGGATTCGATCCGGGTCTCCAGGATCGTGCCCTGGGCCAAAGGCAGGCGCTAAACTGCTGTGCCACCCAGGGATCTCAAGACTTTATTTATTCATTAAGAGAGAGAGAGGCAGAGACACAGGCAGAGGGAGAAGCAGGCTCCATGCAGGGAGCCTGATGTGGGACTCGATCCTAGGATCCCAGGGTCACACCCTCAGTTGAAGGCAGATGCTCAACCACTGAGCTACCCAGGCATCCCTATTTACATATTTTTATTGACAATGTTATAAAATGTCAACATTAGCTATTTACACAGCATTGTCCTTTACTATATGTAAAATTATTTGCAGTTGAGGTTAAATTATTTAAATCTAAGAAAATACTTTACTGCTACTATTAACAGTAGCAACCACAGTATCGATATCAGTATAATTCTTTTGCACATTACCAAACTCTCATTTACCTCTGTTCCTTTGGAGGGAACTTGTTTCCTAGCTAATTGAAACTCTTAAGTACATAGAAGGTGTAAATCTTCAAACAAAATCAATTAATTGGCATCAAATGATTAAATACAATAATCAAGGAGGCTTTCATTGAAGCAGCCATAAAATCAGTAAATATAGGAAAGGCATATATTTTAGGGTATAATCATCAATTTTCTCTGAACAGATGAATCGGAACAGCCATGTCATCCTGTGTGGTCAAATTTCTCAGTACAACAAAGATGTGCCTTATCCTCCTCCACTACCCCCTGCTGTAGAAGCAATCCAAAAAGAAAGAAACATCACAAGGTATGGTCTGCCCTTTTCCCCTTATTACCAGATTCATGGGTTTAAAGATCATAGATGTATATGTAATGTATCATTCTTCATATATAATTTTTCCTTATTTTAAAAAAAGATTTATGTATTTCAGAAAGAGAAAGCATGCATGTGTGCATGTAGGGTTAGAGGCAGAGGGAGAGGGAGGAGAGAAGTAGACTTCCTGCTGAGCATGGAGCATACTATGGGACTTGATCTCAGGGTTTGTTACAGACCCCCTTCATGACCTGAGCCAAAATTAGGAGTCAGAATCTCAACCGACTGAGCCACCTAGGCACCTCTATAATTTTTCCTTATTAAATAAAACTTGAAAATACACATTTTAAGTCACTTCAGTATTTTAGTTTATGTAGATTAGTGCCTTGGCAGAAAGCTTTTTAAAAAATGCATCTATTCTATCAAACTTTTACAAGTCTTTTTTTCAACTCACATTGGCTTAAGTGCAAAGGAAATTTATTGGCTCATGTTTCTGAAAAGTCCAGTATTAATATTGACTTGGATTTGGCTAGACAAAAGGTTTGTGTAGTGGCATCACTACTCAGTTTTTCTCTTTCTGGGCTGTGCTTTGGGTTGTCTCTATTCTCATGCAGGCTCTCTTGCAGCATAGCAAGAGGATGACTCTTATCTCTAGTCTTATAACAGATTAACAACCCAAGCAAAAAGAGAACAGCTCTCTCCTCTCAATTTTATTAAGTCCCAAAACTGATACTGGCTCAGACTGGACTGGCTTTGGTCATGGGAGGGTGGGGAAAGGATATTACCTACAAACTAAAATCATAGTGCTAATTACCAAACAGAGTTCTAGATGCTGGCCAGACAAAACAATAGAAGTCCACTATAATTATTATTATTTTTTTTAATTTTTTTTTTTTTATTTATGATAGTCACAGAGAGAGAGAGAGAGAGGGGCAGAGACACAGGCAGAGGTAGAAGCGGGCTCCATGCACCGGGGGCCCGATGTGGGATTCGATCCCGGGTCTCCAGGATCGCGCCCTGGGCCAAAGGCAGGCGCCAAACCACTGTGCCACCCAGGGATCCCAAAGTCCACTATATTTAACACCTGTAACTACACCTAACACTATATCTGACCAGACTCTGTGATTGAGTCCTAATGTTTGAAAGATTAACAGATATTAGAGTTCTGGAATGATTTAGTTTTGGACTATTTCATCTTCCATAGTCTCTGATCATTATCCTTTTCTTCCCCATTACAGAGAAAGATTTCTGGTGTTGAACTATAAGGACAAATTTGAGTCTGGCATTCTACAGCTAAGCCAATGGTTTAAAGAAGGAAAGCTAAAGGTAGAACTTGCTTCTGTTCTTTATCAATATCATTTGTCCTGCTACTTAATATACTTTTAGGTTATTTGAATTTATGATAGCAAACATTAGCTTCATAATAAAAAATTCTTAGAAATTGTACTGAATATTGTAAATTAAGTTTACTCCCAGGTGTGTATAACCGCCTCATTGAGAAACCTTCACCTGTTAGTCCCTTTATCTAAGATGTGATTAACCTTTATTTTTCTTAAACTATATCACAAAAAATAGGTTTTTTTCCCCCAAATTTAATATTCATTACTTTAACAAATATTTATGGAATGCTACTATATGCTAGAAACTCCACTTTCTCAAAAATCTTGTAGCCATACCCCTCCACCACCATACTTCTTTCCTTCCCTCCCTGATATTCTGCTATATCTTTTGGTTGTTGGCTGAAAATCAAGAGTTCTAAATTGGAGTCTAGAGACCCTGACCTAGGATGTTCTTGAAACTTACCAATGATAGGCAAAGTTATGTGTGTGTTTATGCTTATGTACTTTGTTTTTTGAAAAGAGGGTGTATAGTTTGTGATGTTACCAATTGAAGATCAGACAATGGGAAAAGATTTTTAAAAATATATATTTTTATATTTTTTAAAGATTTATTTATTTATTTGTGATAGACATAGAAAGAGAAAGGCAGAGACACAGGAGAAGGGAGAAGCAGGCCCCATGCTGGGAGCCCGACGCGGGACCCGATCCCGGGACTCCAGGATCGTGCCCTGGGCCAAAGGCAGGCACTAAAGCCAGCTGAGCCACCCAGAGATCCCCAAAATTTATTTATTTATTTATTCATGAGAGACACACACACAAAGAGAGAGGCAGAGACACAGGCAGAGGGAGAAGCAGGCTCCATGCAGGGAACCCGACATGGGACTCGATCCCGGGTCCCCAGGATCAGGCCCTGGGCCGATGGCAGTGCTAAACCGCTGAGCCACTCGGGCTGCCCTAAAAATATTTTTTAAAAGATTTATCTACCTATGAGAGAGAGAGGAGAGAGAGAGAGAGAGCGAGAGAGAGAGAGAGAGAGAGAGAGAGAGAGAGCGCACATATGACCCATGGGACGGGCAGAGGAAGAGAGAAGGAGAGAATCTCAAGTAAGACTCCCTCCAGAGTACAGAGCCTAGAGCCTAATGCCGGACTCAATCCCACAACCCTGAGATCATGACGTGAGCCAAAATCAAGAGTCAGACGCTTGACTGACTGAGTCCCAGGTGCCCCAAGAAGATTTTATTTTTAAAAATTATTTCATAAGAAACATTTCTATGCTACCCCCATGAAATGAAAGGTATCTATTTTAGACAGAAAGTGCTAAATAGTATTGCTGCCCTTTGCAAAATTGAAGAATATTATAATTGACCTTGAGCACCTCCGGGGTTAAAGGTGCTGACATTCCCCCCCCCCATGCAGTTGAAAATCACTGTGTGTCTTTTGACTCTCCCCAAACTAATAGCCCACTCCTGACTAGAAGCCTTACTGATGACATAAACTGTTGATTACCACATATTTTGTATCTTATGTGTAATTTATACTGTATTCTTTATAATAAACAAAAGAGTATGTTATTATTTAAAAAATATTTTATTTATTCATAAGAGACACATAGAGAGAGGCAGAGAAATAGGTAGAGGGAGAAGCAGATTTCCTTGTGGGGAGCCTGATGTGGGACTCGATCTTAGGACCCCAGGATCACAATCTGAGCTGAAGGCAGATACTCAACCACTGAACTGCCCAGGTGTTACCCAAGAAAAAAAAATGTTATTAAGAAAATCACAAGGAAGAGAAAATACATATGTAGTACTATAGTGTGTTTATCGAAAAAAATCTGTGTATGAATAGACCTGCACAATTCAAACCCATATTGTTCAAGGTCAACTGCAAGTTGACACACTAAAGTCTAAAGAATACTTTATGTAGCTGTTTTGATTTACAGATCAAAGAGACTGTGATGAATGGATTGGAAAACATGGGAGGTAAGATGAATGTAGATTTATTTATTATATGTATGAGCTTGGCACAAAGATTCCCTTTTTTTTTTCCTTGAATTCTACTTCCCTGGTGTTTTTTTGTTTTTGTTTTTTAATCACTTCTTTCTTTCCTTTAAAACCACCCTGCAGGTGTACTTACATATCTTCATCAAATTCTATTAAAGTTCAGCTTAGTGGTATTTAAGAAGTATTGTTTTCACATTTCAAATTATAAAATAAATGTGTGTGTGTGTTTTTTTTTTTTTTTTTTTGGTTTTGCAACAAGTTGTGGAAAAAAAAAAATCATGAGTCATTTAGCTTCCAGGTAACTTTTTCAGTTTAAATGGTTTTATTTATTTGAGAGAGAGAGAGAGAGAGCGCACAAGCAAGCTTGAACAGGGGGGAAGAGCAGAGGGAGAGGGAGAAGCAGACTGTGCTCAGCAGGGCACTCCACATGGGCCATCCCAGGATCCTGAGATCATGACCTGAGCTGAAGGCAGACACTTAACCAACTGAGCCACCCAGGTGCCCCCAGGTTGAATGGTTCTAAGGCATCATAAAATTAAACTATTTTCAATATTTAGGGTTTTTTTTAAAGATTTTATTTGGGGTGCCTGGGTGACTCAGTTAAATATTTAATACATTTGGTCAGTGTGTTTACTAAACAGAAATATAAATTTCACTCATTTTCCTGGCATAGCAGATGTGTATTTTACTTAATAAAACTTTATAATTAGATTTCTATTATTTTTTATTTTTTAGAGATAGCATGCAAGTGGGGACAGGGTAGGTGGTGGTGGGGTGGTGGGCAGAGGGAGAGAATCCTAAGCAGGCTCCATGCCCAGCACAGAACCTGATGCAGGGTTTCACATCATGACCCAGAGGTTACGACCTGAGCTGAAATCAAGAGTTGGTTGCTGGCAGGTTCTCTTACATCGACTGCCTAAGAGTTGTGCTGTAAGAAGCAACAACCTCTCCTCTTCTCCACCATCTGCCTGGCAGCCACAAAGCAGCAACCATGCATGAATGCATCTCCATCCATGTTGGCCAGGCTGGTGTCCGGATCGGCAGTGCCTGCTGGGAGCTCTACTGCCTGGAACACAGCATTCAGCCCAATGGCCAGATGCCAAGTGACAAGACCATTGGGGGAGGAGATGACTCCTTCAACACCTTCTTCAGTGAGACGGGCACTGGCAAACATGTGCCCAGGGTAGTGTTTGTAGACCTGGAACCCACAGTCATTGATGAAGTTCACACTAGCACCTACCGCCCGCTCTTCCACCCTGAGCAGCTCATCATAGGCAAGGAAGATGCTGCCAATAATTATGCCTGAGGGCACTACACCATTGGCAAGGAGATCATTGACCTTGTCTTGGACTGAATTCGGAAACTGGCTGACCGGTGCATGGGTCTTCAGGGCTTAGTTTTCCATAGCTTTGGAGGGGGAACTGGTTCTGGGTTCACCTCCCTGCTGATGGAGTGTCTCTCTGTTGATTATGGCAAGAAGTCCAACCTAGACTTCTCCATCTACCCCACCCCCCAGGTGTCCACAGCTGTAGTAGAGCCCTACAATTCCATTCTCACCACCCACACCACCCTGGAGCACTCTGATTGTGCTTTCACGGTAGACAATGAAGCCATCTATGACATCTGTTGTAGTAACTTCGATATTGAATCCCCAACCTACACTAATCTAAATAGGTTGATAGGTCAAATTGTGTCCTCCCATCACTGCTTCCCTTAGATTTGATGGAGCCCTGAATGTGGAGCTGATGGAGTTCCAGACCAACCTGGTGTCCTATCCCTGCATCCACTTCCCTCTGGCCACATATGCCCCTGTCATCTCTGCTGAGAAAGCCTACCATGAACAGCTTTCTGTAGCAGAGATCACCAGTGCGTGCTTTGAGCCAGCCAACCAGATGGAGAAACGTGACCCTCGCCATGGTAAATACATGGCTTGCTGCCTGTTGTACCGTGGCGACGTGGTTTCCAAAGATGTCAATGCTGCCATTGCCACCATCAAGACCAAGCATACCATCCAGTTTGTGGACTGGTGCCCCACTGGCTTTAAAGTGGGCATTAACTACCAGCCTCCTACTGTGGTACCCAGTGGAGACCTGGCCAAAGTACAGCGAGCTGTGTGCATGCTGAACAACCCCATAGTCATTGCTGAGGCCTGGGCTTGCCTAGTCCACGAGTTTGACCTGATGTATGCCAAGCATGCCTTTGTTCACTGGTATGTGGGTGAGGGCATGGAGGACGGAGAATTTTCTGAGACCCGTGAGGACATGGCTGCCCTGGAGAAGGATTATGAGGAGGTTGGTGTGGATTCTGTTGAAGGAGAGGGTGAAGAAGGAGAGGAATACTAAAGTTAAAAATGTCACAAAGGTGCTGCTTTTACAGGGAAGCTTATTCTGTTTTGAACATTGAAAAGTTGTGCTCTGATCAGTTAATTTGTATGTAGCAGTGTATACTCTCATATACAATTACTGACCTATGCTTTAAAACACAACGCTTTGTTACAGACCCAAGCTGTCCATTTCTCTGATGGGTTTGAATAAAGTATTCCCTGTCTTAAAAAAAAAAAAAAAAAGAGTTGGTTGCTGAACCAGCTGAGCTACCCACGTGCCCCAGATTTCTATTATTTTTTAATAGTCATTGAAAAAAAATTTTTTTTAAAGATTTTATTTATTTATTCATGAGAGACACAGAGAAGGAGAGAGGCAGAGACACAGGCAAAGGGAGAAGCAGGCTCCTCACAGGGAGCCTGATGTGGGACTCGATCCTGGATCCTGGGATCCGGCCCTGAGCCAAAGGCAGAAGCTCAACTGCTGAGTCACTCAGGCGTCCTGAAAAATTGTTTTTTGCTGACATTTTATCCTCATACTTATTTATTCTAGTCTTCAGACTCTGTAAACAGTGAATATTGAGGTGTGGATACAAACACTTCTAGTTTGGGTAAAAGCACAATTTTAAGATGTAAATTGTTAGTTTATCTTGTAACTTTGTCAGTGTTTCTCTTAAGGTTTCTTTTCATGACAGTTTCCTCCTAAACTTAAAATCATTGCAGAAATTATTCAAATTAATTGTATATGTTTCATGTACTGACAAACATACATGATAGTGATATTTATGTTTTCATATAAACTAGTTTTTTTTTTTTTTCCCTTTCTAGCTGCATTCCAGTCCATGATGACAGGAGGTAACATTGGAAAGCAGATAGTTTGCATTTCAGAAGAAACCTCTGTGTAATGTGTATAAGCATCTTCATCAAGGAAATACACGGATTTTGCACAAAGATTTTAAAGATACATTAAAAAAATCTTGGAGGGATCCCTGGGTGGCGCAGCGGTTTGGCGCCTGCCTTTGGCCCAGGGCGTGATCCTGGAGACCCAGGATCGAATCCCATGTCGGGCTCCCGGTGCATGGACCCTGCTTCTCCCTCTGCCTATGTCTCTGCCTCTCTCTCTCTCTCTCTCTCTCTCTCTCTCTCTGTGACTATCATAAATAAATAAAAATTAAAAAAAAAAATAAAATAAAATAAAAAATAAAAAAATCTTGGAGTACAGATAGCTTTTTATTTAAGTGTGATCATTGGTAATATTTTCTAATTGCATAACATAATTTTTTCCTATATCTTCAATATCCTATATGTTCTCTATATCCAACATAATTATTTACAGTAATAGATTGAAGTTAACATGACCTATTTTTCTTTCTTTTACTAAAACTGGTATTATATATGATACTTGATCAGATATTTGGAAACCACTGGAGATTTGGTATAACTGTTTAATGGATTATACAAAATAAATTGATTTTTACAATTAATAACTTTTATTTAAAATAGAATGCTTGTGAAGACATGTAGTAAATGTATGTTGACCTGGAAATGCTTTATATAATTCTTGAACTGTAACTTGGTATAAGAATAGAATTGGGATGGCTTTTCTGTACTGTAGATAGAAAAGGGATTTAATGGCAGGGCACATGTTAGAGTTTGGGGGGGTGGAATTTAGAGCTTGTGGAGTTTTCAGGATAGGAGAGCAGAGGCTTTGTGTTAAGATAAATAACAGGTCAGTCAGGTTGATGAAGAAACTAGTTTACTACAGAGGATGATCTGTGTTTTGCTAACTAGTTTCCTCTATAGCATAAAAACTCAATATATATTGATAAAGCATGTTTGTTTTAAGTTAGCAGGCGTATACTGTCAAATAGCATAAAGATTTTCTAGGGCAAATAGATATAAACATCACTTGAAGTTTCAGATGATTAGAAATATTTAGGCAATCAAGACAGCTTTAGAAAATGACAGGACTGACTGAGCAAATTAACAAATGTTTGAAACATGAACGTTCAAGATTAATGTACCTTTAAATAAGAGGATCTGTTTCATTAATTATAATCAGCCCTTTACAACAATAAAATTGATTTTATTTTCCTAGGTGCTGTGTTGGTTTATGGTCACCTGTTTACACCCTGCTCTATACTTTTGCCTGCGACATTTGTGGAAAGTAGATTCATTCACATTGTTAGTAAATCATTCACTCTGGTTGACTTCAGTGTTCTCATGTTTTATATACCTTTCCTGGACCATTTCATCTCCAGAGAGCACTTCATCTCTGGTTTATATGTTGATAACTCCCAAATCTTTCTATCTTTCTTTCTTGCTTTTTCTTTTCTTCTTTTCTCTTTTCTTTCTTTCTTTCTTTCTTTCTTTCTTTCTTTCTTTCTTTCTTTCTTTCTTTTCCTTCCTTCCTTCCTTCCTTCCTTCCTTCCTTCCTTCCTTCCTTCCTTCCTTCCTTCCTCTTTCTCTCTCTCTCCTTTCTTCTTTCTTTCTCTTTTCTTCTCATTTATTCATGAGAAACAGAGAGGCAGAGTGAGAAGCAGGCTCCTCGCAGGACCCTGATGCGGGACTCCATCCCAGGACCCTGGATCATGGCCTGGGCCAAAGGCAGAGTACATTTCTATTTCTGACCTCTTACTCGAGCTTAAGACCTCCCAAGTAAAATATCTTGTTGACACCTGGGATAAACTGTTTATCCAAAAAGGAATTACCTTCCTCTTACGTGTTTCTACTTTGTTTTTAAATCACCATCCTTTGCACACCCAAACTACTACTCCCTCACTCATTCAGATGCCTATCATCAAGGCTTGTGTTTAACCTTGAAAATAAATACCTTTCTTAGAGAACGCCTTTAATTTCCATCACTGCCACTCCCTCAGTTGAGGTCCTCATCCTTTGGCACACAGCAGGTACTCACAAATGAGTAATCTCAAAAATGTCTCAACCGCATAAAGCTCTAACAAGTAAGTTGTGGCATCCGGCCTGGAGCTCCAGTGTTTTAGTCCCCAGTGTGGATATCCGAGACCTCTTTGCATCCTAACACAGGGAACCCAGACTCTAGGGAGATCATGTTACAAGGAAAGTCGTACACTCGAGTCTCCATTCTTACCCTGTGCGAATGCAATGCTGAGCTAGATTCTGCAAGTTCCCTTCTCAAGCAGTGAAGCTTCGAAGTGTTCCTCTTCAGTGAGAACTCTGGTCAGCGTTTAAGGAGTGCTCTCCTTCCCGCTGGCCTCCATTGTAACTAGTTCCGATCTCAGCTGACAGGAAAAACTACCTCATCTGCCGCTGCGAGGAAGCGGCGACGTCACGGCTGGAATGCACTGACCCCGTTTTTCGGGTTTCGCAGACCACGGGGCCCCGAGGCCTGGAATGACTAGGACGCCGGAGACCGCAGCTCCTAGCGTCCCGGGGGGGGTCCAGCCCCGCTCAGACAGCCGGGTCCCCGCCCGCCTCAGGGCGCCCCCGGCGCTGGGCGGCCGCCGTCCGGCCCGGGGCGAGCGAGTGGGTGTGAGCGTTGGGGGCCGGCCAAACTTCCTGTCCCGCGCTCCGGCTGCTTCCGGCGGGAGCCGGAAGACGCTGTGTGTGGACGGAATTCGGGACCGCCTGACGGCCAGCCGGCTGCCCGGGACGGAAAGGTGAGCTCCGGGCCGGGCCAGGCCACACCCGCGCGGCTAGGTGGTCCCCGGCAGGGAGGGAGCCGGTAGCGGCCTCTCGGGAGCTGGGGCCGAATTCGCTCCCCCTCCCCCCCGCCCGGAGAGGACTGGGAAACCGCCCTCCTTGGGCACCCCTCCCAGATCTGGCGGGCCCGGGAGCGGCCGGTCTAAAGCCCTGCGGCTTCGGCCCTGCCCCTCGCGGCGTAGTGGGGCGGAGGTTTCGGCTCCTTTGCTTGGTTTTGAGAGCGGGGGCTTGGGAACAAGACGGTCCCGAGAAAGCTGGAGTCAGCGAGTCCCCAGGGCGGGGGCTGCCGGACTGCACCCGCAGCCGGGCCTGCCCGCGGCCCTTGGGGCCTCACACTAAGGCCGTTGCAGAGGGGGAACGAGGATGCCAAGGGGACTCTGCCCTGGTTCTTTCGGCCCGGAGCTACCTTCTTCCTTCATACGTCCACTTACTTCCTGAGTCTAGGAGGAAGGCTGCCGGCTGTGAGGGGCTTGGCTGCTCGCTTCTCCTCCTATCGTCTCCAGGCGAGGCTGTGGGCTGAATGCGTTCGCAGGTTAAATTTATCCTCTGAAGTTTCTTCAGAGTCAAGAATGCAGTTAGTCGATTAAACTTTATCCCACTTGCTCACGCATGTGGGATATGGGGCACCATTCGGAAGTTTAAATATTGCTAACTTGGGACTTAAGAATTTGTATTTCTTCACTTTGGCACGCGGGTCAGTGCAAAATACTTTCAATGAGAGTGAAAGAAACATTCTGAAATAAAGTCAGTGGCATTTTGTTGTTAGGGAGTGAGAAATTCCACTTTGGGTTTTCTTAGCGTGGACAGAGTAAACTCAACTGAACAGAAGATTTAGGTTCTTCTTCTTCTTCTTTTTTTTTTAAGATTTTATTTATTTATGAGAGACACACACAGCGAGAGAGGCAGAGACACAGGCAGAGGGAGAAGCAGGCTCCATGCAGGGAGCCCGACGTGGGACTCTATCCCAGGTCTCCAGAATCAGGCCCTGGACTGAAGGCAGGTGCTAAACCGCTGGGCCATTGGGGCTGCCCTTAGGTTCTTATTTTTAAAAATTTTGCATCTAAGTAAATGTCTGAATTTTTGACAAGTTACTTAATCTCTAGCTCCCCCCTCCCCCCAGGGGACGAGACTTACCTATTTATTCAACAGATACTTCCTGAATGCTTAATTTGTTCAAAGCATCATACTTGGTTAATGCAGAGTTTGAATGAATGAATTCAGCGGCCTTAACCAGTGAAAAAAATATGCATGTAGACAATTAACAGCCAAGACAGGATGGAATAATTGCTAAAGAGAGGTGAAACAGTGTGTTGTGAGAACACCAAGGAAAAGAGAGATTTGTTCTTACTGGAGGGAAAGGATCAGAGTCTTACTGGAGGATGGCACTTGAGTTGGATTTTAAAGACTGGAAAGGATTTTAAAACATCGCAACTGGATTGGCAGTACTTATTACTGGTTGAAGAACTAGTCTAAGCAAAGACTTGAGCACTGATATAGGCTGGTGTGTTCATTCAAAAGCCAGTCCCTGTCGGCTGGAGTAAAGGGTTAATTGAGGAATATGGACAGTGCTGTAACTGGAACAGTAGTTGAGGATACATTGTAGAATATTTGAAATGCCATGCTGCCAGGCTTAGGAATTTGACTAGTATTCTCAGACCCTGAATTTTGAATGAGTAGAGTAACATAAGCATTTCTGTGTTTTAGAAAGATAACACAAGTGGCTGCATAAAAAGGTGGACTGAGGGACGCCTGGGTGGTCAGCAGTTTAGCGCCTGCCTTCGGCCCAGGGCGTGATCCTGGAGTCCTGGGATTGAGTCCCACATGGGGCTCCCTGCATGGAGCCTGCTTCTCCCTCTGCCTGTCTCTACCCCTCTCTCTCTCTGTGTCTCTCATGAATAAATTAAAAAAAAAAAAAAAGGCAGATTGAAAAGGGAATTTTTAGGGCAGCTTGACCCCTTAGAAGCCTATTTTAATAGTGTAGTTGAAAGATAATGAGCCCTAAACAGAGTATTACAGGAGGAATAAATCTGAGGGAGTCAGAACTACTGGGGTTATTTATTTATTTTCTAAATAAAGAGTAGTTTTATTGGTTACATATATTTCAGCTATCTACTGGGGTTATTTAAATATGGAGGATGAGACATTGTTAAAGACCTAGAATTTGCAGCTGCGTGGGAAGAAGATTGGGCAATAATTGAAGTGGATAATATAGGAAGAACAGGTTGGTGGTGGAGATGATAATCTGGATTTTGGACATTGTTAGGTTTGAGATGGATATCCAAGCAGTTAGAAATGAAATCTGGAGTTCAGAAGAAAGGTCAGGAATAGAGACAAATTTTTGGTATTATTTGCATGTCATCCATTCATTGTACAGATACTTAGTGCCTACTAAGTGCTTGCAGGGAAGTTTATATGGAAGCCCTTTAATCTCATAGTAAATACAACCTTAGAGTGTCACAGTATCAGAAATGACTCTTGGAGATGTAACTTCCTTATGAATTACATATAGTACTTTGCCAGACACTGTGCTAGGTAGGGGAAAGTAAAGTTATGAACAAGACAGACTAGTTCCTGCCCTTATTTATGGAACTTAAAATTTAGGGGGTAGCCAGACAAAAAACAAATACTATATAAATCTAAAGGAATTAGAAATAGGAGAGTTAGAGACTAAAGATGGAAGTATTAGGAATCTTCTTTGGGTAAGGTGGTCAGGCAGGCAAAGCCTTTCTAAATGAGTTGATAGTTAAACAGAGCCCAAAGGAGTGAAAAAGAGCTAACCAATGGAGAGAGGGGACAGTGTTCCAAGGTAGAGGAAATGACATGTGCACATCTCTAACATCAGAAAGAGCTTAATTTGTTCAAGGAACTAAGATGGCTAGAGCTTGGTGAGCAAATGAGAGTGACTCTGGAGTGTGGTTGGGGAACGAGGAGAGGATCACATAGGTTCTTATAGGCTAGGATAAAGAGTTTGGATTTTTTCTAGGTGCATTGGGATGCCAAGTAAAGAATTTCAAGCAGGTGAGTGAGATCACATTTTAAGATAATCCTTACTACTGTGAAGAGAATAGAATGGAGGGAGACAAGAGCAGGGAGACCAGTTAGATAGCACTAACAGTAGTTTAGAGCAAGTGTTGATGCTGGCCTGAAAAAGGGAGGTGGCAGCAGAGATAGAAATAGGTGGATTTGCTGTCTCAATAGGACTTGCAGCTGGACTGGATATTGGGAGCAAAGGAAAGAAAGTAATAAAAATGACTCCTAAATGGGGTCAGTGGTGGTCCCAGCTTGAGTGGAGGGTTGTGGTGAATGAGACTGGCATGGTGTGATGGCAGATAGGGTTGGGAGAGAATTCATTTTGGACATATTAAATTTGAGATATCGAGTTAAAACGTTAAGCAGAGACATCAAGTAAGCAATTGTATTACCGGTCTGCAGCTCAGAGTATTAGAGCTATAGATAAAAATTTTGGTGGTGAGCACCAGGTGTTGTATGGAAGAAATGAATAACTGTTATATACCTGGAACTAATATTACACTGTATGTTAACTAATTGGAATTTAAATAAAAACTTAAAAAAATTGGCGACTATCATTTAAAGATACAAATTCACACTTGGAGGATATTGTAGCAAGAAGAGAGAGCCTGAATAGTATCCTGAGGAATATTAATATTTAGAGGCAGAGTGCAGGAAGAGTATAGGGATTACCAAAGGAAACTAGAAGAAGAAGAAGAAGAAAAAAAAAGGAAACTAGAAGAATGGCAATGATGAGAGAGTAAAATGAATATGTATCTTGGAAGCAGAGAGAAAGGAGGCAGTACTTCTAAAGGATAATACCAGTTATGGCTCTGGTTACAAGTGACCAGTTTGCTTCAGAAGAGGAATTCATAACAAAGGTGTGGGCAGCTCTTGGGATTAAAGAAAATGATGAAGGCCCTGGCTTTATGAAGGACAGGAATCCGAGCAGCCCCAGGGGAGTCTGCTCGCATCATTACTGGCATGAATGGGCTGCTGCAGCAGTTTTCAACCCTTTGTTACTTCTTTTACAATTCACATTCTGAGGAAAAGTGTCTTTTTTGTTCAATGTGGGTCAAGTGTGCAACAGTTGGCCAATGAAGAAAAGATACCTTAATCTATGATCTTACCAAGGGCATATCCAATGGGAGAGGCTTAGATCCCCAAACATAACATCGATTTATCACTCAAGCAGGGGAAATGAATGTGGGACAATTAAAAGCAACAGTTGCTCATTGCAAAGGTCAAGTAAGATTAGGGCTCCACAAAGTGTCTATCGAATTTGGTAACATGAAGATCTTTGGTAACCTTTACGAGAGAAGTTTTGGTGAAGTGATGGGATTTGGATAGTGATTGGAGAGTTGAAAGTGGAGACCAGTCTCTTGATAAATTTGGCTCTAAAGAATTGGAGAGAAATGGGGAGGTGACTAGAATAAAAATGAGGGCTATGGGAATGGAACATCTCAGCAGATCCTGGAAAGGAAGATGGAAGGTCCAGGATGAACCTGATAGTTTCTAAGATTCATTCTGGCTTCACAGTTCTCCATTCCAAATTTCTTTCACTAGTACCTGTTACTTACCACTTTATGGTTAGAATTTAATCAACTTTCATAATATACTAGATAAGACTATAAAAGGTTACTTGGTTTTTCTTTCCCCTAGGACTATTGCTTTATACCAAAATTTAAACTGCTTTTTAAATTTTACTTTAATTTTTGATCATGGTAATTCCCTACCATTAGTAGAATTTTTGTTTTAGTTTTTTATCTTTAGTGAAGCATTGTTTGGGTCTATATTTGTGGTCAGCCGGAGGTAGATATGGAGGGACAAGCAGATTGGTGACCAGCTGGGGGACCACGGTGTTTCTCAATTTCTTGCCTCTTTTTTCTCACTGCCCCACCCTTCTCCTTTCTGAAACTGGGTCAAGGCATTTTCTACCTCCCTCAAATAAGAGCAGTATTGATGTTCTAGACTTTGTTTTCCTAGGATGGAATTACATTGCTTTTTAGAAGTTGACACAATGATACTGTTTCTTTCTTGAGACAGCAATAAGAGCCCTTGGTCATCTTTCCCTTTGGAATACTCCCTTCTGTATGGCAGTCAGGATTGAGACAAGATACCTGTATCAGCTCTGTTCCAATGCTACCTGTTTAGTTTATTTTGGCTTGTTTTTTCCACCCAATATGTCTCCATTAGCCTGTATTAGTTTTAGGCTATCTTTACCCTCCCAATATGGTGTTAACTACTAATTCCTGTCTTGTGTGAGGATTCAAGTAATTTCAGTTTCCCCAAGACTGATCAATAATTGCTGATTGTAATAAATATTTATAGCAGGTATATATTAATGGCTTTACATTTATGGCTGAATTTCTGTTTAATATATGTATTTTAGATTTTGAAGATACTTTATACTGGTTTTCAATCTTTGGGATGTAATCTATTAAGTAACTTTTGAGATAAATTTAGTGGTTTTATTTTAAAAAAATTCAGAGTGCATGAGATTAGCATAGGCTAGTACTGTTTCATGAAAATACATGGTTTGTATGTGTCTCAGTGTGTTTCATTCTCTGGGATTTGATGGAAAATGTATCTTATTGTGGGTTGCAGTTGAAATGTTTGAAAACAATTGTTTTATAGGAAATTTGGACTCCATAACAAAGACAGATTTCTTTTCTTTTTTTTTTTTTAAGATTTTATTTTAAGCTCTACATCCAGTGTGAGGCTTAAACTCATGACTCGAGTCACTTGGTCTACCAACTGAACCACTCAGGCACATTTCTTAACCTTTTATAGTATACAAAGCATTTGATATATTTACCTGTTTCTTTTTTTTTTTTTATTTACCTGTTTCTTAAACACTTATGCAGAACTTTGTTTCTGAAGAATTTTGTAATTACTTCTATTGACTGATACATAAATAATCCTAAGGTAGATTTGTTTCATCTATATTTCAGATGAGTTTTCCAGGGCCAAAAACATGAGTAGCTTGCC